TTGGAGGGATGTACATTGCATAAATGGGTAGGCACTTTGTGGATTAAAATTGAGTTACAGATTGGTTTGTCTTGTGACTCAGCTGGGTTGTGTGTGTGATGGATTAGGAAGGCTTATTGGATCTTCTCTGAGGTGTGAATTTGCTTCAGCTGAAGCTTTTCATATCTTTTGATTGTAATATTCCCAGCACAGCCAGTGAGCCACTTAGTGCACCTTGGCCATTATTTCCAGATAATGTTTCCTGAGCTTGGAGGAGAAGCTTCTGCTCTTCTGATCCCAATTACGTTATTCGGGGCAATCAGCTCCCGAAAGCGGAAAGATCATAGTAAGCTTGCTTAAAAGCAGGCCAAGTTATCCTGCAGTAAGCATCCTGTTTGTTTCTTTGTCCATCTCTTTCACTGCTGTAGATAAAATAAATAATAGGAAAAAATAAAAAAATAACAAAAAATAGCCTCGAATGCCTCATTAGCCATCTTGCTGTACTCTTGAAATGTTGCACAAGGTCATTTTTCCATTTTAAGTTCACCTATGGGAGCCAAGGTAGAAATATCTATGTTGTCTCTGGTCTGCAGCCTAATCAGTGTGGGCTGTTCTATGTGCATCTATTGCTTTATTGTGGAATTAATAGTTTTGGATGCGTTTGGCAAATGCAGACACTGAGTAGAACCTAATACCTCCTCGCAAGGTGCAAAGGAGCATTTCTAGATGGCACTCCCCTCTAGAAGTATCCTGTTCACTGCACTTTGCATAAAGGATTTCCCCTGCTTCCTTGTGTTTCCTGTCAGTGTTACTATTTCCAGTTAGTTGATCAGAGATTGAAGAGGGGAATCTATAGATTTGCAAATATTCTAATCAAGCTGCTGACAGAAACCTGCAATTGATGTTCCCTCAACATGGGGGTAATGATCTGTGGCCTTTCCTATCTTGGCAGCCTCATGAAGACATCAGTGTGGTGTCCTGGAATCGGCAGGTGCAGCATATCCTGTCCTCCGCTCACCCAAGCGGCAAGGCCGTGGTTTGGGACCTCAGGAAGAATGAGCCCATCATCAAAGTCAGTGATCACAGCAACCGAGTGAGTGGAGGAAGGCCTGTGGTTGTGATGGGCCTGCGGCATGTCCCGTCAGTGACTGCAAAACACTGGCACGGGCTCTCAGGATAAAGTGTTTTTGTATTGTGGGAGCTGTTGGGTTGGTCCTCTTGGAGCTGGAAGACTTTTATAAAAAGGCAATGGTGTGGGGAGTGGGAGTGAATTGTTCCAGAACATCCTTAAGCTTTAACAGTTCTGTGCTGCTGCAGCAGTGCTTAGAGACCCTGTTTGCAACGAGGGGAGAAAAGTTAAGGAGTAAAAGACTGTAGAAACAAGACATTGCCTTGCTCTTTGGAGTCCTTGTCCTGGGTCAGAGCATGAGGTGGCCAACTATGTGCATAACTGATGCTATTGCCGTGCTCTGGTTGTTACTCCAAAACCAGCATTTGGCTCATTTTAAAGCATGGAAAGCTGGAAATAAATGCAGCAAACTGTTATTTGGGAAGATATTTCAAGTTGCTGGGGCCTGAGAAAGATCTGGTTGTTGACACAAATCTCCTGAAGAAGGAAGTCCTAGGGTTTTGTGTGCTTGTGCCTACAGGCAGATGTTCATATGACCTTGCAGCGGAAGAGTTGAAGTTCGTAAAGGGATGTGTAAGGAAATCTTCCTATATCCAAGACGGGACTACCAATTGTGCAAGAATAGAGTATAAGTCCTTTGATTCATAAAAGAATGAGGTGGGGGAGAAAAAAAAGTTGTGATTGCAGATCTCTTCCTAGGCAAATGTAGAATTAGTCTCTCAACTTCGATAGGATGGGTGGTTTTTTATGTTCTGTTTTGCTGTGTTACCAGTCTGCATCACTGAATTTTCAGCCCATGCTATTTTTGTCCCTAGATGCATTGCTCAGGCATGGCCTGGCACCCAGAAGTTGCAACCCAGCTAGTTCTTTCCTCTGAGGATGACCGCTTGCCAGTGATCCAAATATGGGACTTGCGTTTTGCTACCTCTCCTTTGAGCCAGCTGGAAGGGCACACGAGGTAAGGGCCTGCTTGTCATGCTGCCTTTTCAAGACCTCCGTCTTTAAAAGGAAGGCAGCTGGGAGACTGAGCTTTGGCAAGCTCTGACGTTTTTACAGGCTGCTTTGTTTCACTGATTGATCTGGTTCAGGCAGAGATGAGAACCAGTATTTTTGGGCTTAAGTGCGAATGTATCTTGCTTTCTTGTTGACAGGACAGGAAATTGAATTGACTATGAAGTATGACTGTAGTTTCTTTCCGCTCCATTTTAGGGGCATTCTGTCTGTCTCTTGGTGCCACGCTGACCCTGAGCTGCTGTTGAGTAGTGCCAAAGACAACCGAATCTTGTGCTGGAACCCAAGTATGGGGGAGGTACGTGGCCACAGCTAGAAGGGCACATTGTCTGCTTTATACAGAGCTATAAACCAAGCCATGTGTGTCCCTTCTGTGTATTTGTGTAGATTAACAATGTCACTTCCTACAATTTGTCTTCTGCACTCTTCCTGGCCAGAGGGAATGAAGTTGTCCATGTGCAAGATGAAAACAACAGAGACTTTCAGATATTTCCTCTGCCTGTATGCAGAGGCCATAGAAGGAAGAAAGTTTAAACTAAAACTTAGTTTCAACTAATCTTGATTACTTCTTTTTTGTTCATATATGTAGTGGATCTTATGACTTTTTGTATCTTCTTTCTCCATCCCCTAGAGTATTCAAAAGCTGTAGGAAAACCTCAAGAATAATGAGGAGCATTTGTTAGGTTCACAGAGAGTTACACTGTTCCACTAAAGATGTGTACAAGCTTTCTCCAGTACAGAAGTTTCACAAATGTGTGTTCATTGTGTCATGCATCTCAAATACCATCTTTGAAATACCTAGGCATCACAGCAGTTTTAAACATCTAAAATAAGGCTGTGCAAAAACTTCTCTCCTGCCTATTTATTCAGCGCAAAGTTTTTAGATGAAACTGGATTTTGAACTTTGAACAAAATTTGCTCAGTTGATCTTGATGATAGCATGGGCAAAGTACCCTAGCAACATCAACGAAGACCAGCTGGGAGCCCTAGGCCAAATGCATCTTATGGGACAGTTTCACTGAGCTGACCACCTTTTATTTGGAGGCAAGGAAAAAAGTTAAGCCATTTTGTAAAAGGTGTGAAATGCTTCTTTTGTGGTCTGTTGTCTTTTGATGCTATTTCTGTACAGATGTCTAGTGGCTAGCACAGATTCTGATTCTGTAACTTTCTTGGTGGCAATTTGTAACTGAAGTTAACTCCTGAAACACTGTTGTTTAAGAGAAGAACTTAAAAGCCAATTTTAGTAGAGATGGGTTGTCTTTATATGCATGCTTCTGTAGATTTGCAGGGTCTAAATTTAAGCGGGATGTTGTGCAGAGATGGTTAGGAGTCTGTACTTCAGGGGACTATTTTAGTGTCATGTGCTTTTGCCTTCTCTCTTTTCGTGGTAGGTGGTATATGAGTTGCCCATCCGGAGTCAGTGGTGCTTTGATGTCCAGTGGTGCCCTAGGAATCCCACAGTCTTCTCTGCTGCCACATTTGATGGGTGGATCAACGTTTATTCGGTTATGGGTGGCAGTTTAGAGGCTCAACAGAAGACTCAGGCTGACAAGGTAAAGTCCTGTGGACATGCTAGGGCTTGAGGCATTGGCAGCTTTTTGCCTGGCTTCTGAGAGCGTGAGAAGCACATCCATGTAGCAGCAGGGCTTTAAGTGTTACTGTCATCTCATCCACAAGAATGAACTGCTGTGTGGTATGTGTGAGAGCCAGAAGCTCTGTGGGCGAGGACTTAATATCCATACGATTCCAGAAGGGTTGTAAGCCTATATTCCCTCTTGATAAAGAGTTTTCTTGGTATATTTTGTAAAATTCATTGAAGTATATAAGCAAAACCTAAATCAAGTGGAGTTCTGATCATACATGTGTATTCTGTGATTGCTACTACTAGACTAAAACTAAAGCAAAACAGCTATTAGAGTAACAAGCCTTTCTTGCCTTTAAATTGAAGTTAAATAATACTAATTAATACAACAATTTTTCCCTTATTAGCTCTAAAGAAGATCTTAAAAAGTTGCTTATTATCCAAGTCAGTTGACTATTAACTTGGAATGACTTAACATTTTTGAAACTAATAGCCATTATCCATGCGATGAATAGATGGCCAAACTTTGATCAAATTAAATGCCAGTGTTGTCTAAAATTTTAGTTTCAGCTTGGTGTCTGACCTGTTAACTCCTTTATTCTCTCCCAGCAAATAAAATATTAAAATACAGTTTTAAAAGAACACAGATAAGCATTTTCAAGTGCTACTTTATATAGTAATTTGCTTCTAAGTTTTGTTTCATAAGACTTGCATGAGAAAAAAGTCTTTATGGAGCAACAGCCATAGGAGATTAAGGATTTATATAATCCACGGAGAATTTTCTTTATGTGTATGTGACTACTCTTCCACATTTCAAAATCGAAGAATAGTAGTGTAGAACAACTCCCAGGTAAATAAAATAATAAGTACAAAAGTAGAAGGCGGTAACAGTACATCTACAATAGTAGAAGACAGTTGTTAAAGAGACAGGGGAGTTAATGACCTCTTAAGCTCTCTGTCCTCTGGATTTCATGGTATCAGGACGGAAACTCTTTGGCAAAGTTCTTCATTCTGATGTTCCTGATACCTCCATAGTGTGTATTTTGTTTTTTAAAGCTTGACAGGGGGTGATCTGTTAAGTACAAGCTATTCCCCCAGGAAATGATCTCTCAGAATTATTTTCCACTCAAGTGACTCAGTGAGTTGAAGGAGAAAGCATCTAGGTGTTGCCTGCAGTTCTTCGTTTGGCAAGCTTGCCTTGCTCAAACTTTGCTTCCTTTCAGGTATGCCAGTTCCTTGGACCTATGCCCCATCATCCAGTCCCACTTCAATGGGGTTCTCCTTTGTAAGCGTCAAACCTGTGCCAACAATGTTAAAAACTGTGAATCCTTGCAAGCAGCATTGTGTATTTATAGTCACTGACTTCTTAAACGTCAGAAATCAAGATTGGGGCCACTCCTGACACACTCTTACCTAGACAAGAAAGTATGAAGAGATTTATTTCACCAAGCTCATCTGAAGTCCTATAAAAGCTTGAGACAATCCTTAAAACTAATGCTTTCAAAAGACCCCTGCAACAGAAAAGTGGTCATCATTTTTTTTTTTAAATGAGCAAAACAAGAAATAAACTGAGCAACTTTTGACCATATGTAATTGCGGTCTTGCATAAAGAAAGTAATTTCGTAACTCTTGTGTTTGAGCTGGGTGCTAGGCCAAAAGCAGTGTTTGTTAAGCAATTTATATCTTACTAAGGAAAACTCATAAAATCTCTCAAAGTGGACCTTGCTTAAGAAATAATTTCCAGCACTGTTTGGAAATACTATTTCTCTCGTATAGAGGGTTGGTGACTCTCCAGAAAGAGGAGTAATAGACTCTTCTTCTGCAAAGAGGGTAACTAACTACTAAGCAGTAGTTGAATATATTTATATCCTAAAAAGAGGAACAGAATTATATTTCACCCCTTTCTGCATTTGATCCTAGATCTCCTCCTCCTTCAACAATCTCGATCCCTTTGGCACAGGACAGACCCTTCCTCCTCTGCAGGTGCCGGAGCAAGTAGCTCAGACCACCTTGATTCCACCTTTAAAAAAGCCACCCAAGTGGATTCGTAGGCCTGTGGGGGTTTCATTTGCAGTAAGTAAATGGATCATCCCTAGCTGAAAGTTCAATAGATTCCTCTTTTGTGATGCAATCCATTTCTCTTGTAAGAGAAACCTTTTTATTTTCCTAGTACTTGCTCTTTTTAATGCATGTGTAGGGTGCAGTGTGATGTTGCATACAAGAAACCTCTCTTGCCCTATGTTCAGATACGTTTTGAACAACGTCCTATAGCAAAGCATGTAAGTTGAAGGAGTTTGTGGAGCTAAGGAAAGCTTATACATTTTCCTTGTTGGCTGTAGCATATGCATTCCCATTCTCCTTTCTACCCACATATACAATTTTCAGCCCACTTCTCTCTGTCTAATGCTTGCCATTCACATTATGCCTTTTAATCAGTGCAGCTGCCTGTCAGTTTCAGAAAAGAACAGTTTAGAGCAGTATTTCTTCCTCTGTGCCTCTCTGGCATTTGCAGTTGGCTATGCCTGATAACCATGATGCTTGTGTATGTGCTGTCAGTGAGCTCAAGGGCTTGTGATGAGAGCTCCTTCAGTGTCACTGGCATCCATAGGCATGCAGCTGTTTGTGTTCTTTGTGATTATGCCTGGAGCTTGAGTCAGCTTTGCCAGATGAAAAGCTGAGTTTTACATTCACTTAAAAGAATGCTTACTGTGTTTCCTTTTGTTCTTCTCAGTTTGGAGGAAAATTGGTTACCTTTGGTCTTACCAAAGTTTCTGGACAGCAAGCGCAGCAGACTTGCCCTCGCCAGGTGTTCATCAGTCAAGTAACTACTGAAACAGAGTTCCTGGTCCAATCCAGAGAACTGCAGATGGCCCTGCAGTCAGGGAACCTCCTTGAGTACTGCAAGGGCAGGATCCAGACAGCCAAGCTGCAGTTCGATGCAAACCTCTGGAACTTCCTGAAGGTAGTATGACTGTGGAGAAACCCAGGTGTCACTTCTTTTGCATTCTTGAGGTGGAATGTGTCTGTTACACTCCTCTGTAGCTGTACATGTTCCTATTCTACAAGACTTTAAACTGTACTAGATAGACTACTTAATTCATCTAAAGAAAAGTTTTGACAGTGGAAATTTTGGAGGCTGTCTCTCTTTTTAATTGCAATGGTCTTTATGGTAGACTATGTTTGGCTTCCTGTCTATACGCTAAACAGTTATAGCTTTGATAGCCAGCTATACCACACTTATTACTATGTGATGACTCAAAATTCACCTGTATATTACGATTGTAATGTAAATTCCAGAGGCTTTGGAATTAAGGCTGCACAGTACACAGTAGTCACCAAGCGGATTTGTCATAATTGGGTCCAAACTTTAAACTTTGCTGAAGAAGCAGTCAAGCATTGGAGCATGAAGTTGACGTTTTCTTCTCTTTTTCAATTTCCTTTGGGATCCAGGTGAATCTGGAGCAGGAGTCCAGGACTAAACTCCTCAAGCTGCTGGGCTACAGTAAAGAAGATCTGCAAAAGAAGGTAAGCAGTGTACAGCAGAGAGAAACCTATACAGGACTAGGGCCACTGAAGGCAAATGATGGGCTCCCTGCTGGAGATGAGTGAGTGATCTTGCACCACATGATGGACAGTGAATTATGAAATCTCACGTGAGGGGTATCTCCTTCCCCAAACTGAAACGTAGTGCATTGATCAGGGAACTACTCCGCAAAGAACATTCTGTAGTTTCTTTTTGGACTAGAGGTGCAGTGCTAAATCAGTGTATGATTGTGAAGCCTCTACTGAGCTCTGAGGCTTTCTCCCCAGATTTGAAAGATTAACTGCTTATCTCAAAGCAGACCTTTGAGAGAGTGTGTAAGAAGAAAAAGTCTGAAAAGGCTGTTCAGATTTTTTTTTTTTGATTATGCTGGGCCTAGATCTCCTGAATTCCTATTGAAAAGCAAATGTTGGCACCCACAAGAATAAAACAATAGCTGTGCAGAATCAGACCAAAGAGGGCTTGAGGCCAATATTTTATCTCTGGTAGTTGATGCTCAGAGAAGCATATAACAATATGGTAGTTGAGAGACTGTTCTAGCTTCCAACTGTCTGCCTCAGGGAATTCTTCAGTGAGAAATAAAGTGATAGATGAAGGCAGTCTGCCATAGCACTGATGGAGCTGTGGCAGAAGAGACTCTTGCAGCAACATGGTCTGTGTCCTTATGAAAACTAAAGACAAGCTATTTGTCTCTATCTGCTAGATAACTAAATAGTAGACAGAAATAGGGAGAGGTGGAACTTTTCAAACAGGTGAAAGAGCCAGGGGAATAGCCTGTGACTTGCTGGTCAGTTGGTTCTTTGCTGCCTATGTGTTTAACAGATGCTTCATCCTGTGAATATCTCCTCTTTTGTAGATCTCCTCCTGCTTGAATAATGGGATCCCAGATAAACAGGCCCTTCCTGAGGCAGATGAGAGGGATACTGTGCAGCCAGGTCAGGTATGTCCTATGCATAATTCCAGTCTGGGAAAACAGTGGAGGGCAGAATGGTAAGGTTTACTTCCAACCACAGGTTATTGGGCTCAATGCAGAAATCGCAGAGGGCAGTTCACAAGCCTGTCTGACCCTCACAGGGTCAGACTAAACGCTCATAGAGGTCCCTTCTGGCTTTAAAACAAATCAGCGAATGATGAAGATGGACTCCTGGCTGTTAACACTGCATAAAGGCTTGCTCCACCAGTGCTGGTTTCTCCAGTGATACAATTAGCCTCACCCCAACTTAACTTCATCCTGCAGTTCTGGATTTCCTCTGTGAAGCTTCTGCTGTGGTACCTGTTGTCTTTACTTCTTTTTCACCTCTGTTCTTTGAAATGTTAATTTTCACATGATTTGGGATGACACCCTTCAGATGCCTTCCAGGGCTTTGTTCAACATCCACCATTAATTTTGCTCTTCTAAGGTATCTAAAGCTGCTTCACTCAAATTAGCAATCTCTTTTGCAAACTTTAAACACTTGCTGAGATGTTCTACGGGTAGCATTTTTAATTGCATTTCTATTGACTACCCAGCATGGCTGTGATCCTAGATGTTAAATACAGATATGACATGTTGGGCTTGTTCATATTCCATCCAAAACTGTTCAGCTTACTCAAGGGCTGACAGTTGAATGGATGAAGGCTGCCTACCAGTGCTGTTGTCACTGCATGTTTTACACCAACAGCTTTCCTAGGTTTGTCAATAACAGTACTGTTTTTATTACTGCCTCACTGAAGCTGTACAGATTGATAAAATAGTGACATGAGGCATGAATGATTTCCAGGTGGAACTCTGATTTATATGGGCATTCTCAACCAAGTGGGGAGCACCCCATCCTATTCTGTAATCCACTAAATTATGTTGGGAAGGAACTTGTGTGTTCAATGAATTAACTTCTTGTGCTCTTTGCACAGCTTTTGATAAATTCCAGTGATGATGTAGCTGCTGTTTCCTCCTCTTCAGCCTTTTTTGACAACCTCATCCCACAGGACTTGAGCACTTTGGAGATTCCTGTCACAGCAGGTGTGTTACGAGATATGTGTCTGCTCTTCCTTAAAGAAAGAGGAGGAGGAGAAAATGTGAAAATGGTTGAGACTGGAGTGGGGAGGAAAGGGGAAAACAAACAAAAGGGTCCATTAGATAAATGCTTCTAATACTTGTGACCAATCTCAATGTCTTGCAACATCTGTCTGCATTTTGCAAAAGAATACCCTTCAGAGATAAGAGACCCATGAAGGGTATGGGAGAACCTCCTAACTGTCAGAAGACTTACTTTCAAGTCAGTGATTTTTTTGGAGATACAAAACCTGATTTGTATTTCCAAATGTTCCTTAGGTTATTGTACTTACTAACTGCTCTATGAAAAGAACATGATTAATGTGTCTGGATGGTGCCCCCGTGGCTTAGGTCTGCTTTCTCACCTCTGCAGATACTGATGGACTCATCAGCCAGGCCCTTTTGCTGGGGAATTTTGAAGGTGCAGTGGAGCTATGTCTGCGGGCAGAACGCTTTGCTGATGCCATCATCTTAGCTATTGCTGGGGGGGAGAATCTCCTGAGAGAGACCCAGAAGCGCTACTTTGCCAAGAGGAAAACAAAAATTTCCATGGTAAGTGATGGTCTGATGTACCCACTGAGCAGTGGAAGGTGTGGGGTATCTTGGCAGATGTTTGTCCAAATATGTTGAAATGCTTTCAGGGAGAAGTGAAATGCCAGAGTCTGTTTTTCTTTTTGGCTAGACATTTATTTTCCATTTACTTAATACTTTATGCATGACAATTTCATGCTACCCACTTAGGACTTCCCATTCTCTGTTCCTTTCTTTTAATGATTTCTGCCTCAGCTGTCTGTGCCTGTAACCTGTGGAAAGTACTGTTCCTTTAGGGCTCTTGGCCATGAAGGTCATAGCTTACTAATTACCAGTTAACGGGGTTTGGTCTGCCCTAACCCAATATTCTCATCATCAATGCTAGCGGCTGTGAAACAGAATGTGTGCTAGATATTTGGTAAGGCCATTTTCATATTCAGTCGTGCACTTTAGTTGGTGCCTTTTTTAGCATTAACATGCCAAGAGGTAGTTGCTGAATATGTAGAAGCATGTCCCAAAGTGAGCTATCGGTATGGATGCCCTTGCTCAAACAGTCAGCATATCTTAGTCTTCCGTGACTGACAGATCACCCTCTTCTCTTACAGCTTCTTTCCTCCATTGTGCAGCAGAAGTGGCAAGATATTGTTCACACGTGTGAGCTACAAAGCTGGAAGGAGGCACTGGCTATCTTGTTAACATACTCAAAGCATGAGGACTACACCCAGCTTTGTGGTATGAAGTTTACTCTGTTTTGATATGGTTTAATTTAGGGAAGGACACCTCTGGGCTACTTACAAAAAGAAGTATGTGGAAGCTGTGGAAAGACAGGTTCTTGCACATAATAGAACTCGTATCTAGCTGGAATTTGAAATTGTGTGGACTGTTGAATTAGGAGAATTAATTATGCGTGTTGCAGCTGAGAGTAGTGATGTAAAATGAGACATGCTGATATTCTGTGACACTTTCATCAATAGCATGGAAAGATCAGAATAGGTATTAAAAGAGGGTGATATTTATTGTTTTATTTGGGGAGAGGCTTCTGTGACAGAAAAAGGTCAAGTCCTCTCCATAGAGAGAGGTTTCCTTCTGCAGATTCCTCTCACTTTTAAACTCATAAACTTGGGCTGTTTGGTGGCTTCAAAATACTTTTTGATGGCTTCAAAAGTTTACTCAGTCCTGTTAATAGTCAAATATACTAAGGAACCAGTAGCTCAGAGTTAGGGGGCAATCCAGGGACAGAATCACAAAAAGTTACTCAAATTGCTTTCGTCTGGTAAGTAGCTGATGGCTTACAAGAGAATGGCCGAGTGATTTGGGAGAAATGCCAGCATTTAGTGCAAGGGTACATGAAATGCAAGAAAACATGTCATCTTGTGTTGAACTAACTGTAGGAGGTGGAGAGTGGCTGTAGTGGTAATGAAAATTGGAAAGCACCAACACTATCCACTTTTGCTAGACCTTGATAACTACCAGGTTACTAGCTGTGGTATTGTATTGTCTACTATTGCATTGAGATACACACACGACTTTAGAAAGAGAAGGTTGGATTTTGTTCACTAAACTCCTCTGTCCTTTTTAAGGATTTTCCTTTATTTTGTATGTCTGGGCAGGTATATGAAAATGGACAGGTTTTTGAAAATGAGCGTTTTTTTTTTTTTCTACAAAATTGGTTTTCTGATTCATTAATGATGTCTGTCTCTCTGTTATCCCAGAATTAGGTGCCGTTCTTAAGTTGTCAACACCTTTTCATGCCAACCCCAGAGTAAGATTGCTGAGAGAAGCTTGGGGTTAAAGAGATCTCCAGAACGAGACAGTTAAATGTCGGCTGTGCTTCTTCCTCTGTAGACATGCTGGGTGCCCGCTTAGAGTCGGAGGGAGATGCAGCCCTGTGCGATGACGCCTGCCTGTGCTACATCTCCTCAGGCAATGTGGAGAGGTTGGTGGAATGCTGGGTAAAAAACCATGAGACTTCGTCACCCCTTGCCCTGCAGGTACAGGTGCTATGATGTTGGTTTGACACCTCTCTAGGCCAATCTGTTTGCATTATAACACAATATTTGACTTTGGCAGACAGTGCTGTCACCTGGGTGTCTCCTCCTAGTCTGGATTATGTGGCTACATCTAAAGCTGACTCGCACCCTTAAATGCTAAGGGGTTTGTTTAGAGGGTACTGATTGCACTTCCTGTAAATCTAGCTACACACAGGAGCTCTGAGCTACCTACCTGTCTTTGTATTTACTATTGTCCTCTCTAAGCTTCCATTTTAGTTAGAGAATTTTAGATTATTCCTGTTATCTGGCTAGTAGTTGCCTGGGAGCACATTTCCTGCTGTGCTATTCACGTTTAACTGTGATAGACCTGTTATTTGGCTCTGCCTTCATCTGGAACATTTTGCCTCTGGCAGAATAGTGTCTAGACTGAGTTCTTCCCATTGCCAGCAGAATGATCATGTAAGGAAAGTCAGACAAGAGCTTGAGGGTGAAATTAGAGCTTCTAAATCCTAAATCAGTGTTGTTGTTGTCCTGTTCACTTAAGTCAGTAGCCCTTATTGGGTCCATCGGGCACTATAATGAATGAGACAAGTCTTCCACTGAGATACCTGCAGAAAATACTCTCTGCTATAGAGGTTCCTGGCCCTGCTGCCCTGCTAAGGAATGGCAGCAACAAAAAGGCATCTTCAGCATTCCTGCTTATGTTTGAAATCGTCCTTGTCCCCCTCTGTTACCAGCTAGTGCTACTTGCATCATTCCATAGTTACAAACATTACTTTGATTTTGGGGAGATGAAGGAGCATAGAATAGTTAAAGACCTGGTTGTTCTGTCAGCATTAGCAGTTCCTCGTAGTTAAAGTCTCCTGGTACAGCTTTCCCTTCCAAAGTGATATCTTGTAACGGCTAAAATTACAGGAGGAAACTCCCCCCCTGCCCCTTCCCTTTACTATAAAAGCAGGGTCTGCTTCTTGTTTTCCTCCACTAAGTTCCTGTGTTTCCAGCTCTGTGAATAAATGCTTTTCAGTGATTGCAGGGGTGTCAAGTGGATTAACTTTGAATCATCTTGGCCCTCATGTCAGCTGAAGGTGGAGAAAGCTGTCTGGCACTGTCTCAGCATGAGACAGACCAGTAAAGCTAATCTGTTTCTGAGGAGTCTGTTTCTTCCCTGAGATTTTATTTCCCTTCCTGCCTATTCAGGATCTGATAGAGAAGGTGATGGTGCTGAGCAAGTCCATTGAGATGCTCCGAGGCACAGCAGGACCAGCACCAGGGCCCGTCTTGGCAGAACGAATCACCCAGTATGCCAGCCTGCTGGCCTCACAGGGATGCTTGGCAGCCGCAATGAATTACCTGCCCAGCAGCTCCAAAGAGGTGAGTGAGAAACAGACTGTTGTAGGTCAGAGCAGTTTATGTGGAAGGGGGATACTTTGTGCAAAACACTTGTAAACTTGGGTTTCTACTCACACCAGGACTTGAGGCTTCAACTTAATTGTGATAACTTGAGAGTGTAGCTTTTAGTTTTTCTATGGTGCAGCTTTATCTTTTTTTTTTTCCTCGCAATACCTTTGATTTGGAGAAAGCAAGAGAGCTCTAGTGCTGTAAAATGGTTCCTGGAAAGCAATGCTGGGAAGCAGCTTCCCAAGGAAGATGCACCTAATCCTGAAACCAGCTGTTGGAGGAAGAGGAATGGAATGGGGAGGTCACCTTGTGGTTCCAAGTGAATGTGTTTAGCGTGCAAATGTTTGTGAAGAGATACCATAAATACTGGGGGGAAGGATCAGTGAAAGCTGGTTGAAACCTCTTCTGTAGAGGAGGTGATAGGTGGTTTCCCTGTGGCTTGCAGTTTTTTTCCTAGGGGTTATTTGAGAAATGGTTAATTCTGCAGGTTGGTGCTCAGGGCTTTTGGTCAACCTGTGCTTTGAATGCTTCAACAGCATCCTCAGTCTGAGACTCTGAAGATGCTTCCCTAAAGTGTATTTTGTTTCAGCTCCTGATCCAACAGCTTCGTGACCGGCTCTTCCACGCTCAGGGAGACAATGTGGCTGATCAGCAGCCCCCACCTTTTCCCTACGCTCGTGTCCGTGTAGGTGGTGTTAAACATGCATCTCCAGCAGCCAAGAGCAGCTCCACCCCTGAAGGAGCAGCCCACAAACCAAGCCCCAGACGTCCAGAGAAGGTATGTCTTAATCTCAGGCGTTCATGGCCTGAGGGAGAAAAGCTAATGGACTGGGGGGGGTGTCATGAAATTAGAAACCTGGAGGAAGACATGGTCCACAAGTGTCAAGGTGGCAGAGAGGGCAGCACCCAGTCCTGTGCTCTTTGTCTCCTCCTGCCAACCATGGTAATGGCGGAGGAGATCCTGTGTGTTCCTGGGAGCAGTAGGGCCTTTGTTCTGATCTCTCCAGAGCACTGACAGCAGCAGCAGCCTCCCTTGGCTGAGAAGTGAGAAGAATAGAGTAGAATAGTATCCGCTTATGAATGTGAATGCACGTGCATTCCTATGTGTGTCTGTCAGCAATTAGAAGGATCTTACTTTTTAATTGCAGCCCACCTACTCGTCATCATTTACCCCTTCAGCACCTGCTCAGCCTTCTGTGCCTCCCCTCTTCACACCTCAGCCAGTGCCAGCGATGTCTGCACCACCTCAGACCAGTACTGGTCCACAAACAAGCATCTATTCCAGAGGGTCCCCATACCCGCAGTACAACTTGGGCATGGCGCCGGTGGCAGTTCCAGGACCAGGTGAGCATTGTCCATCATCAGTTTTTCAGGCGTAATTTAGGTTTTTTAGACCAAAGTGCCCAGCAAAGAAGGTTACTCCTTCCTCATGGGTCTACTGTTGCAAAGAACAAGTTGCAATCAAAGTGCCTTTTCAGTGCTTCTGCATAGCTGGTATAAACAGCTGTGCTTTACTTGCAGCCATGTTAGCCGCAGATAGGGGTGGAGAAGCTGGAAGCTGCTGTGTCTTCTGACAGGTTGTTTGACTGATGCTTTTAGGGGAATACCCAGGATTCTGGATCTTCTAGGGCACGGTTTGTAGAAGGAATGCTTAGTGGCATGAAGGTGAGCAGTTGGAGTAGTTTGGACATGGGATACGTGGTGCTGATACATTCTCTCTCATTTGTAGTGCTCGCACAGTCTCAGCCGTTCAGCCCTGCGGGAGCCGGACCTGCTGTTCCAACGCCCTTCCCCAGCCAGCCTCCTCTCCCAGGACAATCCATGGCCATGGCACCTCCTGGTGTGCCACCACCTGGACCCACCCTCTTCTCTCCAGCCTCAGTCCCATCATCGCAGCTCCCTGCAGGTTGTCCTCTCCCTGTGGCAAACCAGTCTCCTCTTGGTTTCTCTTCTGCACCGTTCAACTGCCCCATGAACATGGGTTATCCTCAGGGAGGCCCTGGAGCTCCATCTGCTAAGCCTCTGGCAGCAGCCAGCATCCCTCCACCTCCCACAGGTAATACTGCATGTGTGGCACGTATCCTGGCAATCCTGGATGGGATTTGCAGTACTAATGTACGTTGGCCTGCTGTGCTCTGGTCTGTCACCATAAAGGCTGGATGTGGTGCTCTCTGGAGCTAATGTTGCAGCTCTGTTGTGCTGAGTCTTGCTGTGGTGCTGAAACACAGCGATGGTGACAGTTTCAGGCTATTGAGCTGTTCTGTCCCCCAGGTTGTTGTTATAAAGCACTGTCTCTTCGGGTTCCCAGTGTACCCTGAGTAATCCTCTACTCCAGAGGAACCTTTTCTGACTGAAAGGGTGGTGGTTTCCAGGAAGTACCCTTAGACCTTGGGGGAAGGCTTACGTAATGCTCTTATCTGTGCTATATAATTTAATAAATGCATTTGGCATCTTGAGAGAGAAGGGGAGGGCAGTGTTCTTTTCTCTCAGTTGGATGCCTATTACCTGGCTTCAGGATAAAATTCCTGTATCTGCTTGCTCTGGTTCACCCAGTTGCTTCCTGTTGCCATAAGGTGCTTGCCTGGAAATCTCTTCTGAATCTTTCTGTATTCCAGATTCTTCAACATTCCAGATTTGGAGCCTTTCCCCTCTGGGTCTGTAATTTGAATCCAGCCCAGCCTGTAAATCTTGTGAAGTCCTCACTAGCACAATGAAGAAAATGGAGAGAGTTTTTGGAGCTAGTTCCTAATTGATGGGTAGCCCCTCTTTCCATTTCCTGCAGCATCAGCACCAATGGTGCTTGTTAGTTGTGTTTTGTGCCTCAGGGAAAAGATTTGGCCAGGCTGTGGAGAGCCCTCAGGGAAAGACTGATGGTCCTTAGGTCTTCAAACAGCTGCTTCTCTGAGCCACACTCATAGTGAGAGAGAAGTTGATGCTTTGTGGTTTGCCTCCACCTGGAGACTGTCACTAAGCTGGGTTTAAGCATGGATGGCAAACCCCACAGTGTGAAGCCTGTGGTGACTATATGCAAAGACTCTAAACTTAGGCTGGACAAATCCCTTCTGAAAAACTACTGGGATGTCAGTCAGGGACATTACCACTAAGTAAAAGTTATGGTGACAATGACTCTTACTCCCACCCTGCCTTGATTTTTTCAGGTTTCTTCCCTTGGCTAGATCCACACTTGGATCGTGCAGGTAGTACACAGAGAAGCCTCCAGAGCTGTGGAGGAGGCAGTGCTGCTGCTTTCAGTGCAGTGTGGGGCTGTGTGCACGTGTGCATGCAAACGTGCGGCTGTTTGTTGTGTTCCCTGCATGCCTGGGGAGATGTGTGCCTGGCTGGTGCCTCTGTACCAAGTAATAGCAAGTGATGTTTGGGGGTGTGCCAAGGGGATGCACCCTGGAAGGGGTGCAGTCCTGGAAGGATTAGAGCATTTCAAGTCTATGTGTCCCTTCTGACAGATGCTGGGCAGTAGGATGGGGGCAATGGCTCTGCTACTTTCTTGTGCTTCTAAGCAAGGAATAAACTAGCAGTTTTAGCTCACTGCTTGTGTTTTTTTTTTTTTTTTCTCCCCACTGCACTGCTGGCTTCAAGGATGACTTTACTTGCACTTGTGTTCTCTTCAGATGGGCTGGAAAAAGTGGGTCCCAGAAAGGCAGATGAGACCTTCCCCGGAGAATCTGGGGACTCTGTTCCAAGGGGAATGGGAAAGCTTTTTTGGCTTTAGTTGCAGGGCAAGGTTTGGGTTTGAATCTCGCTTGTGACACCTAGCAGGACCTGCCGTGTGGAGTAAGGCCGTAGAAAAAGGATTGTCCCTTCAGCAGAGAAACATAAGATAATTCTTTTGTTTCTCTGCTGAAAACAGAGATATTGGTCATTTCCTCAGGCCGAAGGTGTCCCGTGAGACTCCAGTGATGGGAAGTTCTCTTTCCCCGGCACGCATTTGCCACAGTTAGTTTTAGTGGAGTGAAAGGCAAGCCCAGATCAGCATATGCAAATAGACTTCCTTCTTCTTTGAGACCTTGAGAGTCTTTTGTTTATTTTCTTTTTCTTTTCCTTCCCTTTTTAATTTCTCTTAAACACTGGAAAGAATCTGTAAAGTCACTGCTTGGACTTTCTAGCTTTGGAAATTCTCCTAGCTGAACAACTTGTGGACAAATTCTTACCAACTTAGTTAAGAGAAACCTTGGAGAATGTCAGGACATAATGAAGGACAGTGACCTGTTGGCTGATCTCCTTTCTGGCCAGGATAATCCCCGTTTACATCCTGTGACAATCTCAATTTTTCCAGGGCAGGCACTGCCAGAGATTGCTGCCATAGCGCACTTGCTCCAGGGTTGGTGAGAAATCCTCTTTCACTGCTAGTGTAGGCGAGTTAGTCAGGGTTTCATTCCAGGAAAATGCAACAGGGTTCTGTCATCTCATGTCTGACGACCTCAAGTGCCTGGCTTAAAGACCGTAATTTAAATAGCTGTTTCCTCTGAGGATTAAAAGTGTCACTGAGCTGGAGCAGTGCCAGGGCTTGCTAGGCCACATGCTCAATGGGGGCCAGCAGAGTTCTAGGGCATGAAATCCCCAAGCTAGAAATAAGTGCCAACTTAATTAAACTTCTGATTCAAACTCATCAGAGAATGAGCCTTGAAATCATGGGAAAAGGAGGGAGGGCAAAAAGAGGCTGCCAGAATTGTAATAATAAAAGTAATTAACGTAATGAAGCACCTTTTGCATTTTTCCCTTTTTTTTTTTTTTTTAAAGCTCAGTTCAGGATCAGTGGCTCATTAAGTGTGGCACCGCACTCTAGAAATTCTTCTGATATTGCTTCTTAAAACTGTGCCACTTTCTCACAGAATCCTCCCATCATATCAGCTTGAGGTTGATCCTGGGGTGACAAATAAAAATAGTGGGATTTTGTCTAGCGATCCAAATCCCCTTAAAGAACAGCAACAAGCAAGATAGTTGGAATTTGACCTTAGCAGAATGAGATGTGGTCACAAGCTTTCCAATTTTATGTTGTCTGATGGATTTTTAATTGCTTGGATTGAGGTTAAAAGCTAAGTACCACAGAAACATCTGCCGAGATATTTGTGTGCTCCCAAGGAATTTAGCAGTTAACTCTGCTTGCTTCTAGCTGGGAAGCCAGCAAAATTTCCCAAGCTTTGGTCCAGAATATGCTTTTAGAAGGGGAAAATTAAACCCCAAATGCAGTCCTTCTCTTATCACAGCAGTCTGCATTGCTTTGATTTGCCACTGCGAGGCACCTGTGAGCACTGGTGAGAGACCTTCTGTCACCCGTAGTCCAATTTTTGCTGCAGGACCACAGCAGTACATTCTGTGCTAGGGAACCCCCAGGCAGTCCCTGGGCCCTGGTGTGCACCCACATGCAGGGTCCGACCAAAGTTGGTGCCTGAGTCCCCATCTGACTTCTGCGGCCAATGCAGAATGTGGAAAACTTGTAATCGCAGACAAAGCCGTGTGCGTGCGTACCAGGACATTCTCATCAGCTGTCACCTCCTGCAGTCTGTGCACATGCTTAGATGTTGCATAAGTATTTGAGAAAGGGAAGGGAGAGTAGTTCTTGTGTCATAAGCTAGGCCCTTGGTCGAAGTGTTTGAAGATGCAGTGATTGGGGAGGAAAGGGGGAGGTAAAGAAATCAGAGCTGTGGGTCTTTTTCCTGAGGGAATTTCCAAAGCATGAGAGCAACCACAAATTGCGACTCTGGCTGCCTTCTTGAAGTCTGACATCCTTGTCGTGTTCTCTGTCTTAGCAGCTCAGGAATCTTGGACTGATCCCTCTGTTGCAAGAGGAGGCCTTCAGAAGAAAAAGGTAAGCTTTCAGCCTAAATATCTTCTGGTTGTCTTTCAGCCAGGGACAGCACCATCTGAATTCAGATAAATGCTCCTTGTTGCACTTAGCAGCTCTTCTTCCATGTAGGTCTGTTCAGTTCTGCATTGTGGATTCAGCTAATGCTGGAATCTGCTGAGTCCTGTCCTAATGCAATACAGACGTGCATGCCATTCTCCAGTGTGTCTGGCTTGCATTTTTTCATCTGTGGTGTTGCAGTTTGTCAGTATTTTCCAGGCTGACTGCAGTTAATTTTTTTCTAGAAATACAGATTTAACCTCCTTACCCCTTTTCTCACCCACCTTTTCTGATGGGCTGGAGAGATCATGCTCATTTTATATCTGACAGTTGGGGGCAGCATTTCCCCTCAGCACAGTGAGAACCACAGTGATTTTCCTCAGATGATACCAGCTGTGTGGCTCCTGCTAAAAGAGCTGTAGCTGTGAGCTGCCTGCCCCATTGGCCCTCTGCATTCTGCCTTGCAGTGATTCCACTGGAGGACCTGTGAGCTGGGCTGCTTTGCAACAAATGTTTTTCGTACCCCACTTCCATCATTGCTGCCTGCTGGCAGATGTGATGAGAAGCTTCTTTGGCATCATTCCCACCCCCACTCCTGTTCTTTAGCTTGGAGTAGACTTCTAGCCCTTTTTCTGGCAACATAGCTGGGAACCTGCTTCAGGCTGTGCTCACTACAACAGGATTAACCTCTTGTTAAAGCCATCTCCTTTTGATCTAGCCCTGTTGGAGCGAATCTATCCTGACTCTGGCTTAGTAGGGGCATGATGAAGTGTTTGCAAGAGGATTCTCCCGCCGTGTTGTGGGATTTCCCCCAGCGCTTCCTCCGTTGGACACTTTACTGCTGCTAATCTCTACATTCAGGACTCGTGCCGTTGCAGACCCAAGGCGGCTTTCAGAGGACTAGTGCTTTTGGGGGCAACAAATCTGTTTGATTGAACAATTCCAGTGGTGTTTTCTTGCTGTCTCTTTGGCTGTTCATCTAGGCTGTTAGAGGAAGGACCCTGAGCTCAGGGTCAGTGAGCTGAAAGAACAGGGGTATATTGCATATCACCTTGAGAATTAGGGACTCTGCCGGTTCAAAAGGATATTAAATTCAACTGGGGAGTGTGACCAACTCTCCTTCCTTGGACTTGTTTTTCTTGCAGCACTGATTTTTTTTTATTTTTTTCCCCCCTCCTCATTTTGCTTCTTGCCTTTTGCTGGCAGTTGCCAGAGCAGTTTACACCTCCAGCCCCCATCACAGCTCCTGTAATGAACCTCCCTGCGGAGCTCCAAGGGATCCATCCTCAGCTCTCCAGAATGCAAGAAGTTGGCCAGTCACCCCCAGGAGCACCCAAGGAAGGCAGCCTGCAGGTACCCAGGGAAACAGGGGTGTTCCCTCCTATCAAACAGAGGAACAGCTCAGCTTTTGAGATTCTCGTGGAATGGCAACTACAAGTCTTATATATGTCCCTTTGCCTGGGACAGAGAATTGTTAGAGTTGTTGAAAACGACACCTGGACAGGGTAGAGTAGAATGAAGGCCAGACAGGCAGTTAGCCTGCTGGGAATAAAGAATGCACAGGGACCCAAAGCTACACTACAGTCTCAAGATAATATAATCCAGTTCTTCCAGATGTTCTCCAAGTTTGCCAAGATGTGAACTTCTTTCTGTCCATAGTTGCAGGTGGGGATTCTGCCTGTGCTGGCCTTTCATGCTTCTGCTGCTTTCACTCAGCTACTTGTTTCTCTGTCAGTATCACCAGCTGCCCACGGAGAGGGTCGAAAGGAAAGAGGTGCCCCCTGAGCACCAGAATCTGAAGACCACATTTGAAGAATTGGTGCAACGCTGCTCTGCTGTTGCCACTGATCCAGTAAGTCCTTCCTTCTCTGCTGTTGGCTGTTTTTTTTGTTTGTTTGTTTGTTTTCGTTTTCGTTTTGTTTTTTTTTTATTTTATTTTTCTCTTGTAGACCTCTGGCAGGCACTTATTTCTTTTGGTAAGAAAACAGGAGGGAAGAGTTCTCTCCTTGTATGCAGGTTAATCACCATCTGCCTTCTTTCTTTATGCCATAGGATTGTCCTAGGGAGAAGCCTTGGGATTTGAGATGTTTTCTCTAGCACTCATTCATTGTCTCTAGAATGTGCTTGGTTGTGCTTGCTCTGAGGAAAAGAGAAGAAACAACCTAGAAAATTCAGCCTGTTTTTTCACTTGCTTGATCTATAGACAGCTCCTGCAGAGCTGGCCATCATCAGGCCTTAGAGGGAAAGGCAGGAATACCCTGGCTAGAAGAGGAAGCCAGTCAATCTTTAAGACACTCGTTTCTCCACCCCTGACTCCTGGAGGGCTACTGGCATGCAGGCTGTGTTACATTAATGTATCAAGCTTGACTGAGCCTGGAACCAGAAGAGCAGTGTTTGCAGCATTGTGGTAGGCTGCTAAGTCTTCCCAGACCTTGGGACCACCATGAAGTCACTCGGATAGCCTCTGCTTAGTGGTGTTGGGACTAGGATGAAGTCCAACCTGTCAAGCCATCCTGGAATTAAACAATTTGTATATAACATCAGCTTCAGCTTGTTTACTCTGTATTTTCTAGGAGTACAGAGCAGCAATTTCTGTGAGAGAATGTGAAGGTTCTCTGTAGGGACAGAAAGGCATGTTGTTTTGGGCTCAGTCATTCTTTTAAGGTGACTTTAAGGAAGTTGAATAGCTGGGTTGACACATCAGCACATTTGAGCTCTAAGCTCTGCCCAGGCCTGTTTCATCATTGCCCAGAGCCAACCATTGCTGTTCACAGTAGTTTACCTGTAAGTGGATTACCCTGGGTGAGGATAGTGTAGTCTGTTCCTCCAGAGCTTCAGTACTCAGTCTCTTTTTTTGGCAGTTATCTAGTGGGAGAAGGATACTCCCTCCTCTCCTTGAGGCGACAGGGAGTGTGCTATCTCTGAGGTCAGCCAGGGTGAGGCTGTCTAAATGCCCATTTGGTCATTCAGTGGATGTTTCTCAATCTTCTGAAGTACTGTTTCTTTTCCATGGTCTGCAAACACTGCCAAAAGGGAGATATGCCTGGGTCAGGAGATGGGGAAAGTGATAAATGTAACTGCCCATCTGGAGAAGAGAGCACAAGCATGTACATGCCTGCACAGTGAGAGCATGGCATGTTGGCTTGTGTTGCAGTCCTTGGCTCTGATCCATCTGTCAGAGGCTGGGATGCAGCTGAATTGCAAGGGGTTTGGGGAAGAAGGGAGGAGATACGGGTTCAGCTGGGTCAACTTGATTCTGGGAGAAGTAAATGAGGAGCCCTGGCAGAGCTGTCAATGCCTTTATCACTTCAGAAAACTCGAAGGAAGCTGGAGGATGCGTTGCAACGGCTGGAGTGTTTGTATGAGAAGCTCCGCGAACAAGTGGTAAGTAGACACCACCTTTCCCAGTAGTTCAGCTGGCTTCTCCATCCCTCTGTTGTGCTGGGTTTGTTGTTCTCAGCTTCTGTGCAAGCGTCTTCAGCACAAATGAAAAAATCAGAAAAACAATAGTTTTCTCTCTTGCAAGCAGCTAGAGGAATGCCAGACACTTCTTGAATCCAGGCAGCCTTATCTCCCTTCCTTCTCCCTTCACCTTGGCCCAGAGATTGTACAAGGAAAACCTGAGAGGGGAACTGTGTGGTGCTTTTTTCCCCAGAAGTGTACTGGCATACAGACAGGTTCCAGACAGGGATGAGCAGCTTGTAAAGGAGTAATTGGGAGTGGTTATTACACTAGGGGAACCTAGTGAAGCTAGTGTAAGCTTCAACTTGGAAAGCTCCTAAACTGCTGGAAGGATATATATCATAGGTAGAATCCATATAACACTTTCCTCAGTGTCCATATTAGGCTTGAACAGAGACAGGATTTTGTGCTAGTTGGACCTGTGGCCTGCTAAAATACTTCAGATAAGTAATGCTGAAATGTCCTTACATGAGATTTATGTTTACTATAATCCAGCATGAGTACTGGATTAATGTATGTTTTATGCTGGGCCACTGAGGGAGGAAGCAGTCTAGCCTTTAGCAATGTTGTCTCTGTAGATGTTTGGTGAGGACAAGGAGTACAGCAGAAGGGAAAGGTTGGGAGGGAGAAGGCCTGTGTTAGTGTTGAGTGTGCTAACTAATGCATTTCTTTTCCCTCCCTACAGCTCTCTCCAACCATTCTAATGGGTTTGCATGAGATTGCTCGCTGCATTGAGGCTAGGAACTACCAGCAAGGTCTCCTGGTTCATACCCAAGTGGTGAGCAGCAGCAGTTTCAGTGAGGTGTCTGGCTTCATGCCTGTCCTGAAAGTCCTCATGACCATTGCTGGCAAGCTGAATGTCTGAAGTCTGGAGCAGCTGGTGCTGTGATGCCCTGAGCTGGTGGACTCCCTTACCTGTCAATGTGCTGCAGGTTGTGGACTCTCCTTCTGACTCTGGAGAAATAAGTCTGCGCCAGTGCCTGGAACTCTGTCAGGCCAGCACACCTGCTCCCATCTGCTCTCCAGATGGCCTGGATTTCTTGGAGACTGTTCTTTCTCTTTCTTATTGGTCTGAGGCTGCTTTCTAGCCTAGGAATCTTGATATCAGGCTTCCCAAGTTGCACAGAGATCTTTCCAGAACTGCTCCTCTTCCCTGCCTCCCTCCCCTCAGAGAGGGGAAACGCTCCTCCCAAGCTGATTTTTGAGTAGGAGGCAAACAGTGCTGGCACTTTCAGCACCACCAGACAGAAGAGCCTCAGGCTGTATTCCCCACTCCTGTGTGAACTGGTCCTGAGTGACCACTGGGCACCCTTGGGACTTAAGCTGAGGTGTTGCTTCTCCACTGGGCCACAGTCAGTTCTCTGATTCCTTCTTTCTCTTCATTCTAATCCTTGAATCTTTCCTCTCTACCCCCTTACCCTGCTACCACTTGGGCTGACTACCAGGCTACTCCGGGCTCACTTCGGTTCCGTCTTTTTCTTCAGTTCTCTCTCTTCATAGTCTTCTCTGCACCCTCTACCCCTTCCTTTATCTCTTTTTTTCCCTGTAAGCCCCAGGTTTGAACCTTTTTTTGTTTCAGGTCCAGGACTGTTTCCCCGCTTCCAACTCTGGGGACCTCAGGAATGCTGGCAGGTTGGACTCCTGCTCAGTGCTCTCCTCCCCAGAGCTAATAGCATCCTGTGTTTGGGCTGAAAGCTGCCCTGTCTGGCTCTTGGCCTTTTCCACTTCCTTTATGTTAGCACAGTTGGCCTGTTGCCAAGGAGTGTTATCTAAAGGCTTCCCCACATTGGGATTTCTAGACAGTCTAAAGGGCTTTAGAAGCAGCAGGGGTTGTACAAGTCCCTTAAAGAGTCCCCTTAAGCTGCTGTGAGCAAATTTGCCCAAATTTGAGCAGGGGGAGCCAGCTTATTGCTACAGGTGTGGTGGTGCATTCTGCCTGTAGTAATGGATATGTGTGAGGGTGGTTCTCGAGAGCCCCATGGCACTGGGATGGTAGGAACATGCTGCTGGGGTGATGCACTGGGTCCTGAAGAGACAGGTCTGATTTGAGGCTTTTCATCACCGTGGTGTTTCTTTTGGGATGGAACAGAGGAGTGAAGCATATTTGTCCTGCAGAAGAAGCCTGGGGAGGCAAATGGGACTTTTAGGACACATCTGTATGTGTGTATCTTTTTTTCCTTCCCTTGCTCTTGCTCCCTTTTATACTAATCAGGCAGCATAAATCCTTAGACCCTAACTGGGAGCAAGGCTTCTTCACACCGTTTGGTTGCAGCCTGCCCCTGCTTCCTCTCCTTGCTGCTTGAGTGAAACTGCTGTTATGGGTCTCTGGTTCAGTGACTTAGGCAAATCAGCCTGCTCCACCATGAGGGAGGGAGGAGGGAGAGGGCAGGGTTTGCTCTCTCCTTGCAGGTCAAAGTGCCTCCTTGTTGCTGCTGTGTTCTGTTGCCATTGCTGCGGTTTGATGCACTGAGAGATTACAGAATGGTGAAATAAAAGCTATGTTTTGTGGTGCTGCTAGCGTCTTTCCTAGACTTGGGCCTAGGAAACCTGGGGACCTCTGGCTTCAGTAGACTTGTCTCAATCTGTAAGGCCCCCCTCTGAGTTCTCAGCTATAGCTTCAAAAAGGTTTGGGACAAACCGGGTTCTGGGCTCTGCTGGTGTGGGCAGCAAACATCCTGGCATGGTAAGATCTCAGGCCATACTGCCCAGGGCTGCAGGTCAGAGAACTGCTCTTCTCCAGATCACCTTCCTCAGTTGTAACTGTTCATCTGCGTCAGATACAACTAAAAAGGGCCCTGGCATGGCTGATGTTCTCTTGGGTTTTTGTTTGTTTTGTTTTTTCTGCTCAGGGATTTTTTTTGTCACAATCTTGGGGTTTTTGCACCTTATATCAGGACTTGAAAGTATGTTAGCATCAAACAGAGGAGCCAGCCATCTCTGCTGGCTGGTAACAGCTTCTGGCTTGTGGCTACTTGGTGTTGCCTCCTCTCGTGCAGGCACCGCTAGCATCCTGCACCGCGCAACAGCGAGTGTTTTCTGCAACGGCGAGCGTTTACTGCGGGATTTCTGCCTTCGAGTTGACAAAGAGCTGAGTTGGGGGGGCAGTAGGAAGGGATCCCTGGGCATGGAGGGAGCTGAGCCCTAATCCTGTTGCAGATAACATCATGTCTGCAGGCTAGGCTTGTGTGTGTTTGGGGGAGCTGGAGGGGCTGAGATTGTTAGGCAGTATTTGTTTGTAAAGCCACTTGCTCTGAGGATAATGCTTGCACTAACTTCTATTGAGGGAGCAGTGTGAGTCCCCACAAAGTCCTTTCCCAAAGTGTCTTTGAAGCCAAGAACCCATTGAAAGGAAGAAAGGCCTAGAGAGGGGATTAGTTTGTTCAGCAGCTGTGAATTTCAGTGGGAGGCTGATGAACTCCAAAGTCTTTGTTGAGATTTTTTTTGTAAGGAGCCCTGCTGGAGGGAGAGACCCACACAGGGGCCTCGGCCTTAGACAAGAAGGAATCTGAAGCGGCAGGGAGCTGTAAACGGGCCACAAGGACTTTTCCCAAACACTTTTCGGAAAAGGTGTTGTGAAGAGAGCGGAGGGGGATTAGCATGTGAAATGACACTTTCCATTGACTCCACAGAGGGGAGGGGAAAAGGGCTGGCTGGCTGATTTATTAGCATTTTGTTCCCTTCTCTATTCTGCTCCCTTGGCTGTCCCCCTCCCTCTGCTCCCTTCCTCCCCGAGCCCTCTAAAGAGGTTTGGATTGGGAAAGGGATGGGGGGGCTGCCTGTTTGTGTGTCATCTGGGCGAAGGTGACCACCTGGGAAGCTGAATGTAAATATTTCTCCTCTGAGGAATGCGCCTTCATTAAACCGAAATGAATACATGGAAGCATCCAATCCCGCCGCACAATGGCAGCAATGCCTTTCCCGCTACGGGCTCCTTTTGCCAGGGACCAGGACCCCTCCGGGCTGACCCGCTGCCGAGGTCAGCACATTTTGCAGCTGCGGAGTCGCCATTTTGTCCCTGAGAAGCAGCGTGTGGTGGCGCGGTCGCTCAGTGCTCCCTGCGCGCCCCTCGCCTGGTGGCCACAGGTGGGAGCCGGGCACCCCCATGGCTGTGCCAAGGGGGTACATCCTGGGCCATGCTGTATCCGGCATGGGGCAGTCATGAAGGCAAGAGAGGAAAGGGGCCGCATGCCCTGTCACGCACTGGAAATGGGGAGCAGCTTCTGTATCGCTGACTTTTCCATCTTGAACTGGTCTTGGAAAGGGTGCCGAGAAGGCCGGGAAGGGGTAGGAGCTGTTTTGTGTGCCTTGCAGCGTGGCGCCATGCGAACCAGCCATGCTGGGCAGGAGGCAGCAGCGCTCTGCTTTTCTGCCCAAGGACATTTCCCCACTGCAGGGAGATGCAGGGCAGGATGAGACACTGGTGCAGACCTGCTCGCACTGGTACAAAGGAAATCTAGGACAGGGTCCTTCTGCTGATAAAGAACACTTGTGCTAACAAGAACCCTTGAACAAACAGCTGGTGGCTTGTGTGTGAAGTGGAGGTGTTCCAGCTTTCCCTGAGGATGGGCTCACGCCGTTTCCTGCAATTTTGAAGGGGCAAATTCTTGGTCTCCAGGTCTGCACTATCTTCAAATTCCCATCCCCAACAAGGTAGTCCTGATATCAAGGTGATGTTTGCTAATTAAGAGACAAATGGGTTGATAGGGTTGGTAAGTGTCCTTGATCTGTGCAGTTGTGTCCCTTTGTGCCCCTCCCCATTAGCCACATTGCAGTTGGATGCCACCTCAGACAAGTTCACAGAGCAAGCAGACCCTTGGCCCTTGAGGGAGGAACAGAGGTGGTACCAGGTACAGGGAAATGGCACTTGAGGTGTCTTCCCACCAAGGGGTAAGTGGCTGAGTCTTAAGCCTTGAGAACAGTAGCCTCATACATCCACGTGCCGTTGGATGTGAAAACACGTACCCAGTAAGACACACCACCATTTTGCAAGCACTTGGCTACCGCTTTATTGCATTGGCTATTAGTTTACAAACATTGGCTACAAGACAGGTCTAAGGGCCAGTCACTTAGCTCTGCTGGCTTCTGACATCTGTCTAAAACACCCTTCAAACAGCAATGTAGACAGAACCTCCCAGGCCAGAGGAAATCAGTGTGATGGGCAGAGGGCTGCCCCTAGGCCTGCAGCTGACAGCCTCTTCCCTCCTACCTCAGCTAGGGCAAGGGAAGAGAGATGCATCAACCCAATCTTCCTGCTGCTTGCTTAGCCTTTAGAATATATACAATAAGTGGTAAAGAAAAACTGTTATGTATACCTCACAGTAACTGTGCAATAAATTAAACTTCAAAGTGCTTCACTTTCCTATTTACAACACCATTAAATAGTAACTGTCCTTATTTTCTCAGGCTAGGAAGAAATAGTTAGTTAGCTGACAGAATTAAGAGTGCTTGGCAAGTATACCAGGAGATGGGGAATAGGCTCAGCTGGTAGCTCCGCTCTAGGGGAGATTTGGGAGTGAAGAAGGGGAAGGGAAGTATGAGGGTGTCTTTCTGGCATCAGTCAAGGCCTTTGGTTGGTGTGCTGGGTGATGAGTGCCAGTCTTGGGGGCTTAGAAGATACAGAGTAGGTGTGTGAAAGCAAGTGATACGACCCATCTTTTGGACAACTCTTTAATGGGTAGGTCATGCAGCAATTTGAAATCTTTCTGCTGGAGTATCTCAACTGCAAAGTTAAGGCAGGGGAGAGCTTGGGCAATCCATGAATGGATGGGAGGTGAGTTTGTGGCCCTCTTGGAGGTTGGCTTGCTGCAGAAAGGAATTAACTCCCTAACTGTGACTTCCCTCACAGTGCAGGGTCTAATAAAAGACAGTGACAGATTCTTTAGGATACAAGAGACATCAACCAAGCCTCTTCTGCTTTAGAGACTACTGCCCTGGGTGGTCCAAATCTGCTCGTGTCATCTGAGCTTAGTCATATCTTCTTGAGTGGCAATCTTGCTCAGAAGTCCAGAGCAGGTGCTTGCC